ATTAGAAGTTTATCAAACAACTTTTAAAATTTTATTTTTTAAACAATTTTCTTTATTTATTTTAAAAACCTAATTATTAGCAAATTTGGAAAACTTTATTAAATCACAAAATATTAATATCATTTTTATAAGATTCAAACTCATAGTAATAATAAATTTAATAATACAACAGACTACTTAGCTTCATACTATTTACTTTTAGGATTTCTTGAATTTAATTATACAAATTACTTTAATAATTTTTATATACTCTAATAGAAAAACTTTCTTATTAAGCAACTAATATATAGATTTATCAAAAATATCTGCAATACTTTTATAATTGCTATATAGTCTTCATAATTTAAAGTATAACTTTAGAAACAATTCTTAAAATAAATTAATTAGAATATAACTTAAACAGTAATCAATAATAATCATTTATATTCATCTAACTATACTAATTATAAACTGAGTAAAACTAAAACTTTCTAAATTAAAAACCTTCTAAACAACTTTCTTACTATATTTTACTTATATACTTATTATCCAAATATTATCAAAACAAAATAATATATTTTTTGTAACCAAACTAATAATAATATATATTAGCTATTTTGTTTAAATCTACAATTAATCTTTAACATAATTAAATTTAGTATAGAATCTAATATTATACTAGATAATCTTGATATTTTATTATTACAACTTCTATATCTTCAAAACTCTCTTATTAATTATCATTTCTTATAATTACTACAGCTTTTTTTTTAATAATATTTTACTTTATTAATTTATTATAGATCTTGTACTAAATGATCTAATACAATAATTATATCCTTATATAGAATCTTATAAATTAGCTTAACAACTTATAACTTTACTATTTATTAAAATATCTAAATTAGTATATAAATAATTATAGAAATTCTACTATGCCAAACTCTATAAATAGAAACAAACAAATAATATCAAACTCTACAAACAAAATTTTTAAACTAATACTACATAATCAAATTCACTTCTAACATACTATAGCTCTCACTTAAATAAAGTTAATAATATTGTTACAAGTAGTGTAGCCTTCTTAATATACTTCAAGTAACATAAGACATGGAAGAGGAATTATCAATAATGTCAAAGTGGAATATTATATTACTGTGGTAGTTCATTAGAGAAATTAATTTTTAAAGCTAAAAGATTATATTTTTTAAAGAACTAATAAAGAACTTAGAACTTTATTAGAGAACTGTAAAGAACTAAAGAACTATTTTACTATTATTTAATAGGAAATTGTAGAGAACAAATCTTATTTGAGGCAAAGGGAAAAGGAAGGGTTTATATAGCTTTTTACAACTAGTAATAAGAATAGTAAAAATGATAAGAATAGTAAGAATAGTAAGAACAGTAAAAATAGTAAGAATAATAAGAATAGTAAAAACAGTAAGAACAGTAAGAATAGTAAATTAATTATAGTTATTTTTAAGCTAATTTAAAAACTATATATCTTATAGATATAAAATATAGTTTATTAAAAAAGTCTAATTAAGCTGAATTTAATAGTAAAATCTAAATTTATTTTTAGCTAATAAGTTATTAAAAAAAATGATAATAACTAAATTTAAATATATATAATAATATAAAAATATAATAATTAAAAAATATGCTAAAACTTATTTTGTAATAATAGTTTTAGGCTATAATATAAAAAATAATAGTTCATCTAAGAAGAATCTATAGTATAAAATAATAAATAAGCTTAAACTTAGTTTAGAAAAACTTGTATATAAAAACTTTTTATTTAAAAAAAGAATTCTACTAGCAAACTCTCTGATTCTTTCAAAAATCTAATATATAGCTTATCTACTACTATCTAGTAAAAAACAAATAGCAGATATTAACAGATTTATTATACTATAAATTAAAAGTAACTTTAAAATATTACTAAGATATTTTACTTTTTAGCTCTCTTATAAACAAGAAAGCTTACAAATACTAATAGTTAGTAATCTACTAGAAACAAAACTCATATTAGTATAGTTAAAATTAATCTTAAATAACTTTCTATAAGCAAAAATTAAAAGAGAGAAAATCTTTTTCTTATTGTCTTAAAAAAAAAATATTTTAATAGAAGATATATTATTTGTATAATCTATTAGATCTAAAGCCTAGCTAACAAACTAAAAATTATATCTGTTATTATAGTTTAGAAAAAAAATCAAGAAAAAAATCACTACAGAATTTAGCTAATCTTAGAACCTAACAGATCTAGAAATAAACAAGAAAAAAACTTCTAAAATTATAATAAAATTTATAGTAAAACTTTTAAAGAAATATAGTTTTAAACAAATTAATTAAATAAAAGATATAGCTTAAACATAAACTAGATTTTTTAAAAAATAGTCTTAAATAAAAAAAAGAATATATTCTGATATCTTTTTCATAGAACTCTATTATTAAATTATAAACTCTGACACTTTGTAGTAACAGAATTAGAAGAATATCTTTAGTATTTAGATTAAATACAAACAATTGAATATTTAGTTACTAATTATAAAATTAGTAAAATTATTTAAACAGAAACCTATAAGTTCTTAAAAACAGATCAAATCGAAACTATCTTATCTTCAATTAAAAGAATCTTTCTTAATGAGTATACAAGAAATATAAAAATTTATAACATACTTTTATAACTACTTACATATGTAGTTTATATAATCTGATATTGTTATGTAGCTTGCAAATAGGGTAATATAAAATATTCAGAACAAACAATAGTAGCTTTAACTAAAAACAGAATTTCTAAGAAAATTAATCTACTTCATAACAAAAATTTTACAAAACCTATTTATAAAAAAATTTGTAAATATTTAGCTTAGTCTTTTCTAATATGTAAATAATATTACTATAATTATTTTTAATAAAAGAGTACCATACGCACCCCAAATTTTATGATCTGGGATAGTTAAAAAAAAATTTTTAATTAATTATATTTAATATTTTAATACTATTATATTAATTAAAATTAAATTAGATTTATTAATAGGCTAGTAGTAGCTTTTTTTTAATCAAGAATTAGCGAGTTGTATAGACATAATTACTCTTGTAAAAAAAACTACTGCAATAAATCGTATTTAAGCACCAAAAGGTAGCTAAATAAATCCAAACTTGTTGTAAAAAAACAGTTCAAAATATCTTATTTTATTTTATTTTGTAATATGTTTATAAACCTAGATAGCTTTTATCATAATAATGAAAAAAAAAATTAGATTTGTTAATAAAAAAGTATATTTAATTCTTTGTTTAACATAACGTTAGATAAATTTACAATAAAGGCAAAAACCAATACTATGATTTTATTAGTTAACCAAATATGTATTAGTTAGAGGCTATTAAAATTTTAAAAAAATTTAGAAAAAAGGAAATTATATTAAACAGAGAATCCAGGCCTTAGTAGAGTAATATTTTTAGATAAAGATCCCTCATTTTAGCATATGTCCCCAAAAAATTATCATAAAAATGTAATAAGCTAACATAATTTAATCCAAACGACATTCATGTGAAACATTTATATAGCAAATAAATTTGTATACAAAATGCAAATGAAAAAGTTAGTAAAGAATCTTTTTTAAAAAGATACCTTGTTGGTTGATGAGTAAACATTATTATTGCAATGAATTAATCGCGATTATTATATGTGAAAGACATTTATTACTCAGCGATCTGAATATTCATAAAGATTATATCAGATATGGTTTTATTCACTATTATTAACTAATAAAAGATCGAGCTCATTCATAGTAATTCCCTGAAAGTGCATCATTCCATTCGTTTTTTCTTGTTTTTGTACTTTCAATTGTCATCTGGCTCCATAATTTCATAATTACACACCGAACCGTTCTCATCATCTTCGAAAGATTCAAATTCATCCTCAACGTTGTCAGTTTCAACAATTAGTTTCATCTCACCTATACAAACATGAGAAACATCTATCTCCTCTTCTTCACTTTTGATGTTCAAATATTTTTTCACGTGCCTTTGAGCTTCTTCGTTGCCTTTTATCAGGGTTGTGCTAAACCATATGAACTGCTCTTCAGAGGTCGATTCCTGCTCAGGCACAAATCTTTCGCCAGTAACAAGACACCTCGGATCTGAGCTCATCCAACCGGCATCACCTCCCCACCACCTGACCCATTTAAATTCCCATTTCTGCTTTGCATCATGTTCTTGGACGGTAACATCGTAATATATCGGTTTATCAAGTTGACATCCATGAAGATCATACACATCAGGTGGCGCAGTAGTCGAAGGAATACCCCTTAAAGCGAAATGCATTGACATTTTTTCAAAGATCATATGTCCTTTGAAGTATAGTGGTGATGATAACGTATTTTCATGGGAATTCGATGATAAATTTTGCGTTTGAGAACATTTAACGTGACAAGTACTATTTTCTGCGGGGTTATTCTTTAAGGCTTGAGTTTTTTCTGTGGATAATACAGAAGCACTACATGAAGTTGAACTACTCGAAGGTTTATCGCCACTCTCACAATTAATTAAACTTTGGCTTGGAAAGAAGCATAAATGAGCGAAACCTTCAAAACATATGGACTTTGTCATTTTGTTGCTGCTTGGCAGCAAGACTTATATAAGGACGTGATATATATCAGATCTTAATATTTCTCGGCCAATAAAAAGAATGTCACGTTATTTATCGACCAGTCAAATTGCGAAATTCATAATAATAAAAAAGTTGCGGGATTCAAGAAGTAAGATACAAGCTTAAAGTTTATTTCATCATAAGTTACCTCTTTGTGAAATTAATAATAAAATTCATAGTTCAAAATATTCAGAATTTGTTACAAACAATTTTTGTTATTAATTTTAATCGAGATAATGATAATATTAGGAATATCGCTTATAGAAAATTATAAAAATCACGATTTCACGTTACACCTCATATTACTATATATCGATATCTGATTGATAAGATATCTTGGCTAAATCATAATAGAAATTTGAAACCCTACTACGTACGTATTAAGAGAAGATTTCTAAATTAGTACTAATTGCATTTATATTTTCACAAAAAAGGTATTTTGAGAAAAAATTCAGTTATGACATAATAGTTTTAAATTGGTATTTTAGAATAAATTCTATTGTCGTTGGTTATACTATTTTCAAATTAATCTGGTTGGTTAATTTATTGAAAAATAAGCCCAAGGAATTGGTGTACAACTTTATATATAAGTAAGACAATGGATCAACTACGTAGACTAACGCTTTTAAACAATCCCCTTACATTCATTTTTACTCGTTTTTCTTCTAATTATTGAGTGCATCAAGCATTTGATTTTTTTATTAATTCTAACCATCATATAACTTATGTATAACCTGTTATTCGACAATCTTGTTATCCAAATGAAACATACTTATCGTTATTTGTTATTAGATTTACATTTTTATTTATTATGATATTCAACAGATAGATTTGTCCTACGTTGGGCATTCATAGTTTATTGTATCAGGATATTATTAGAATTATTAGAATTATTAGACATTCCTTTGAATTCATTTCAATACCCTGAAATATTCTTTCCAGATACGGTAAAACTAATGCATATGCCGGGAACAGAAACTGCCGAACATTATTTCATTACACAAAAGCTTCATCGAGTAAGTTCATGTTCAAATTAAGGACAACTTTCAATTCTATTAATTTATCCTTTTACCATCGTTAAACGTAAATAAATAAAACACCTTCATAGCTTTCATATCCCTATATTATATCCACCGTAAAAGATCGTGTGTGATCGCTTTGAATTTCATTGATTCAAAGCATCATGTTTATGTAATTTGTATACGTGGTCTTGAATGAGCTTTGCTAGTGTTTACGAAAAAACCTTTGAAAGGTCACTTTTTTTTTTTTTAACGTATATCTTTTATACATTTTAAAATACGTTCGTACAAAAAGTTAAAGGGCTGACTTAACCAACCTACAGTAGTTCGCTATTATTCTTGTTTCTTATTTTTATTTTTTTCCTTTTTTATAAGAAAATTCAGAATACAATAGAACCTACTGTAAAAAAGAGCGATTAGATCTTAATATAGTCTCACCATCTAAAGAATTAATAGACAGCTTCTTTCTACTGTATAACTGTTAGAACCATAATAATATATTAAAAGACTTTGGCTATGCTGCTACGATCACCAATTTCAATACACTTCATTTTAGTGACATTTATATTTTTGCCGTCATTTTTTTCTCTAGTTGTTTTTGGTGACAATCATTCACAGGATGATTCTGTTTCAACATTGACTATACCTTTGATGCAATG